TTTATAGTGAATTTTTTTAATATTTTAAGCAAATTTTTTACTTTCTGGATGCACCTAACCTAGATACACCTAAAAACTAAAATACTTGTGAAAAAGTATTTTAAAAATCAATAAATACACAATAATACGTAAATGTATTGAATTTTTATAGGTTTGTATTTTTGGTATTTAGTGAAATTTTTGAAGATTTTTTTTCCTCACAAATATTATACTTTTTAAGTGTATTTATTACCAAACTCCATTCAACTCACCATCTCTCCCCACACCCAGTTCTGGCAGTTGGGAGCAAGGGAGTTGCCAATTCATGGGGTCTATTTTTTCTCAAGTTAAAGCTCCCTATTAAACCAGATGCTTCCATTTATTGAATCAAATTGCAGGAGGATTATGTTGATGGAAAGGAGCTTGGTAAGCTGAATTGTGGGCATGAGTTTCACTTCAATTGCATCAAACAATGGCTCGTGCGAAGAATAACTGTCCCATTTGAAAAAAGACTGCAGTGGTTGTTTGAGAGATCATCGGTTTCAGGGAACTCTTATCCCAAATCAGAGATCATTTGCCAATCAGTTGTCCCTGTAAACTTCTCTCCGGTCCCTTCGCCATCTGAACTTATACCATCGGTTTGCCATTTCCTTTTGTTTGTTTCTTCTTTTTTTTTTACTTTTCTTACCTGAGAGTTTTCATTTCAGTCATGTGCAAGTTCAAATTTGAGCTAATATGTGTTCTTTTATATAAATTCTTAGTTAATTCTTTATCTCTCTAGTTAAATTTTCAATCTCTGCTTCTAGTTAAATTCTCAATTAATTGGGCTGTGTTATTAAAACAAAACAAAAAAAAATGGTGTTTTTTTGGAAAACAAAAGTCACTACATGATGCCATCATGACATCATATGCGAGGCAAGTATGAAAATGAAGAAAGGTGGCGTTTGGAAAAATGCCACTAAATGATATCATTACGTAGTGGTTATTGAAGATTTTGTGACATTTTTAAAAACGCCGCCTAATGTTTTTAGCGATGTTTTTGAAACGTTGCTAAGATATTGCGGCGACCATATCTGCAATGAAAACTTTAAATATCAGAAAAACTTATTGCGGCGTTTCTTAGGGCTATAGCGGCATTGTTAAAAATGCCGCTAAAAGTTAATTTTCCAGCAGTGATTTGTTTACTTCGGACCTATCACACTCATAATTGGAAATATGAGGATTTAAGGTCGAAATAAGAATAGGCTTGGAGCACTAGCTCCGCATTAGGTTGTGCACCTACTTATTTTGCCAATTGTATTTTCATCAATTCGAACAAGATCCACATACTTTTTCTTGGATATTGACTTGATTGCCCACACTCTCTCTCCATACTTGATAAGTCCAGGAAAGAGCATTAACGAGGCCAAAAGAGAGAACCTCAAGGTAGAAGTCCAAGTTAGAATTAGGATGTAACTTGTTCTTAGACCTTGTGTAAATAGTCCTGTAGTGTGCCTCAACCACATTTGATTTTCTTCCAAGCGTAAGATGGTCATGGTATCTGGATCTCCAAGATAAAACAAGATTATTGGTGCCCATAAACCCCTCAATAGATTCATTGGACTGATATCATCGTCGTTAGGCCATATTTACAGGTCCAGAAATGAATAAATAAATAATCATTCAAAACAATAATTGTCCTTCTTACCAAATAATTTCATTAATCATATCATTTTCACTATAATGATCAATTATCTAACCTAATATCATATCCTATTATCACTCAGATACCCTTTTATATATTAAGTATATATTTTTTACACATGCATAAGTCACAGGTGGAAAATTTCCACCATTTGGTAACTACTAAAAGAAAATAAACTTAAAAAGCAACCGTTGAATTATATATTACAAGTTTACAAATTTGTTACATGGATCAAGTAATTCAAACTCTCACACGAAACCTTAAAATTATTACATGGATCAAGCAACCATCAATTCATTATATGAAACATGGATCAAGTAATTCAAACTCTCACACGAAACCTTAAAATTATTACATGGATCAAGCAACCATCAATTCATTATATGAAACAGTACAAAAAAGAAATACAATCCAAGTGAAGCCTTGCCATTAAAAGCAAGAAAAAACTCAAAGCCAAACGCTAGAAGCTTTAGGGGGACGCAACAAAAGCTACATCAAACAACAACATTTGCAAAACACAAGAAACTAGAATTTCTAAATGGTTTGACTCAAACTTGCATGAGCTCATCTCCCAGAAATTTGACACTTATTCAAGGCTTGAAAGGTATTAGCAGCAACATCCTTCAACAACAACCGCTAATTCTGACTCTCTGTCTTCTTTGTCATTCAATTGTTGAGATGCATTTTTCTCCAACATTTTTGTTGCACCCCAGTGCTTAAGTAGAAGCCAGACATGAGTGAGAAACTGTCCACCGCACCTAAGCTCTTGAACATGTTGTTCCACCGAGCAGCAGCTCGCAGCATAGCACAACATCTCTACCCACATATTACTCATGATCTCCCATTTGTTGTTCCCCTTCTCGTCCAAACTACGGGCAAGTTTTTCTCCATTAAACTGTGCTTCTTCAAAAAATTTATCCACATTTTCACCGTTGTTACAGAACGGTAAAGTAGGACAAAAAAGCAGAAGATGCATCATGTACCCAGTGCTTAAGTAGTGTTGCACCCCAGTGCTTAAGTAGAAGCCAGACATGAGTGAGAAACTGTCCACCGCGCCTAAGCTCTTGAACATGTTGTTCCACCGAGCAGCAGCTCGCAGCAAAGCACAACATCTCTACCCACATATTACTCATGATCTCCCATTTGTTGTTCCCCTTCTCGTCCAAACTACAGGCAAGTTTTTCTCCATTAAACTGTGCTTCTTCAAAAAATTTATCCACATTTTCACCGTTGTTACAGAACGGTAAAGTAGGACAAAAAAGCAGAAGATGCATCATGTAATATGACAATATTTTGGTTGTCTCCACTATATTTGGGACTGACTTTGAACTTTTTGGCTCTGAATCATAGCAAATGTCTGTAACAACGTGCCAAACGACAATACTTTTGCCAAATTCTAGCACGACACTCCAATTAACATCCAGTCCATATTTTTCAAGGGTCCACTCACCTCTTTTAATGGTATAAGCTGCAATTTTAGTTATAGGAAACCAATATGAGAGATTGAAACCATGTATTGTGGGTGTATTATAGTCATTTATTTACTTGTTTTTGCTTGAGTTTTATCTTAATGATGACTTATGCACTTCAATCCCTTAGAATCCTCCATTGTAGCATCTGAAAAAGACTGAATGTCATATTTTTGTTTCTTCATTTCTTCGTCTGTTGATTATCTACAAACTTTGTCATAGTTCATGCTCATTTGAGAAGAATGCCTTTTATATAAACTGATCTCGAATATTAACAATAATTCTGCAATTTTCTCTGAATTCTCAAATTATTCAAAATGATTAAAAGACCTCGTGGTCATTGCCGTTGGCAGGCTTGAAAGGGCAAATGGGGTCAGGGCATGTGGGAAGTCACTCCAGAAATGGAGGCTTTGAAATTGGCCCCTTGTGCAATGGCAGCACAGGATGAGAAATCTGATGTCCCCAACAACATCTGCCAGCAGGTGAAGAAATTAGGGCAGAACCCGGGCTGCCTTTGTGCTGTTATGCTTTCTGACACTGCCAGGTTTCTTTCAAATCTGTAAGTTTCGTTCAGACACCTGATTTCCACTCTAGTGAGTCTTCTTTGATTCCCTTCTTTTATGGATAAATAGTCATGGTTTTATGGATACATAGTCATGGTTTTGGTTTAGGCATATCCAATGTAACCATGCTCAATAGAACTAGTAAACATGTTTTCTAATTGTTTTGGTTAATCAGAGGACCTATGTTCAAAAATACATGAAAACCGAGAGAGCGTGCGCGTGTGTGTTTTTATTTTTTATTTTTAAAAGCAGGTTTTGGGAATGTGGGTCCTCTTGAATTTTGCTTTCTCTTCCCCCGTGTCCATGTTTTATTTTGCACTTATTTGAGCTCGGCTACTTTAACTTGTGTACCTTTGAAGATGTAGCAGTGTGTATACCATTAATTAATCTTCATATTCTTTCTTAATGTTTTGCTTTTCCCTTCTAACATTTTTTCTCTTTACCCAATCAAATCTCTAAATATCTTTCTTTTTGCCATAAGCAGATTCGGCGTGCCTTGCAAGTCCTACATTGTGTTGAGGTTAGATCTTTTGCTTGGTTTATTTTATGCTTTGATTATCAAGTTTGTGTTTGCTTTTGGAAATGGACGGAAACTTGGAGTTTTCGTGTTCATGTTCTCCATATAGTTATTAGTTAGCAGTAATTTTTTTACAACTTGCACTCATGGTGGTGTGCCAGGATGGGATTATTGTTCATGAACAACCTTTGTTTTATGAGGAGCCTGATGTGCATGAAAATATGCGTCTTGATGTAGACGATATGTCTTATGAGGTAACACTAATAAATTGAAATAATCATTTACATGACTCTTTTTTTGTCCTTGCCATTATTGAAGTTTGGCTCATAAATGATTGACTTTGGATTAGGAGTTGTTGGCCCTGGAGGATCAAATTGGAAATGTGAGCACTGGATTGAGTGAGGAAGCTATTTTGGCAGCTGTGAGGCGGCATTGTTATCTGTCAATGAAATTAGGACCTCCAGTGGAAGAGGAACCGTGTTGTATTTGTCAGGTAAGGGACACTTAAATTCTCTGTCTTGCAACTTATCTATTTGGGATCAGCTAAAAAAGTCACATAATATTCCAATTTTTTTTTGTCTTTAGTCAATTTTTTTTAGATTCGTGTAAAAAAAATTAATCACTTTGTCTGGTTTTGATTGATTTTCTAAGAATTGAGTTTTTTATTTTTTTGTTTATAGTGAATTTTTTTAATATTTTAAGCAAATTTTTTACTTTCTAGATGCACCTAACCTAGATACACCTAAAAACTAAAATACTTGTGAAAAAGTATTTTAAAAATCAATAAATACACAATAATACGTAAATGTATTGAATTTTTATAGGTTTGCATTTTTGGTATTTAGTGAAATTTTTGAAGATTTTTTTTTCCCCACAAATATTATACTTTTTAAGTGTATTTATTACCAAACTCCATTCAACTCACCATCTCTCCCCACACCCAGTTCTGGCAGTTGGGAGGAAGGGAGTTGCCAATTCATGGGGTCTATTTTTTCTCAAGTTAAAGCTCCCTATTAAACCAGATGCTTCCATTTATTGAATCAAATTGCAGGAGGATTATGTTGATGGAAAGGAGCTTGGTAAGCTGAATTGTGGGCATGAGTTTCACTTCAATTGCATCAAACAATAGCTCGGGCGAAGAATAACTGTCCCATTTGAAAAAAGACTGCAGTGGTTGTTTGAGAGATCATCGGTTTCAGGGAACCCTTATCCCAAATCACAGATCATTTGCCAATCAGTTGTCCCTGTAAACTTCTCTCCGGTCCCTTCGCCATCTGAACTTATACCATCAGCTTGCCATTTCCTTTTGTCCCTGTAAACTTCTCTCCGGTCCCTTCGCCATCTGAACTTATACCATCAGCTTGCCATTTCCTTTTGTTTGTTTCTTCTTTTTTTTTTACTGTTCTTACCTGAGAGTTTTCATTTCAGTCATGTGCAAGTTCAAATTTGAGCTAATATGTGTTCTTTTATATAAATTCTTAGTTAATTCTTTATCTCTCTAGTTAAATTTTCAATCTCTGCTCCTAGTTAAATTCTCAATTAATTGGGCTGTGTTATTAAAAAAAAATAAAAAAAATGGGTGTTTTTTTGGAAAACAAAAGTCACTAAATGATGCCATCATGACATCATATGCGAGGCAAGTATGAAAATGAAGAAAGGTGGCGTTTGGAAAAATGCCACTAAATGATATCATTACGTAGTGGTTATTGAAGATTTTGTGACATTTTTAAAAACGCTGCCTAATGTTTTTAGCGATGTTTTTGAAACGTTGCTAAGATATTGCGGCGACCATATCTGCAATGAAAACTTTAAATATCAGAAAAACCTATTGCGGCGTTTCTTAGGGCTATAGCGGCATTGTTAAAAATGCTGCTAAAAGTTAATTTTCCACCAGTGATTTGTTCTTAAAAACGCCGCCTAATGTTTTTAGCGATGTTTTTGAAACGTTGCTAAGATATTGCGGCGACCATATCTGCAATGAAAACTTTAAATATCAGAAAAACCTATTGCGGCGTTTCTTAGGGCTATAGCGGCATTGTTAAAAATGCCGCTAAAAGTTAATTTCCACCAGTGATTTGTTCACTTCGGACCTATCACACTCATAATTGGAAATATGAGGATTTAAGGTCGAAATAAGAATAGGCTTGGAGCACTAGCTCCGCATTAGGTTGTGCACCTACTTATTTTGCCAATTGTGTTTTCATCAATTCGGACAAGATCCACATACTTTTTCTTGGATATTGACTTGATTGCCCACACTCTCTCTCCATACTTGATAAGTCCAGGAAAGAGCATTAACAAGGCCAAAAGAGAGAACCTCAAGGTAGAAGTCCAAGCTAGAATTAGGATGTAACTTGTTCTTAGACCTTGTGTCAATAGTCCTCTAGCGTGCCTCGACCACATTTGATTTTCTTCCAAGCGTAAGACGGTCATGGTATCTGGACCTCCAAGATAAAACAAGATTATTGGGGCCCATAAACCCCTCAATAGATTCATTGGACTGATATCATCGTCGTTAGGCCATATTTACAGGTCCAGAAATGAATAAATAAATAATCATTCAAAACAATAATTGTCCTTACCAAATAATTTCATTAATCATATCATTTTCACTATAATGATCAATTATCTAACCTAATATCATATCCTATTATCACTCAGATACCCTTTTATATATTAAGTATATATTTTTTACACATGTATAAGTCACAGGTGGAAAATTTCCACCATTTGGTAGCTACTAAAAGAAAATAAACTTAAAAAGCAACCGTTGAATTATATATTACAAACAAATTTGTTACATGGATCAAGTAATTCAAACTCTCACACGAAACCTTAAAATTATTACATGGATCAAGCAACCATCAATTCATTATATGAAACAGTACAAAAAAGAAATACAATCCAAGTGAAGCCTTGCCATTACAACTAAAGCAAACTAACACCATAACAAAACCACAAAAATTAAAAGCAAGAAAAAACTCAAAGCCAAACGCTAGAAGCTTTAGGGGGACGCAACCAAAGCTACATCAAACAACAACAGCTGCAAAACACAAGAAACTAGAATTTCTAAATGGTTTGACTCAAACTTGCATGAGCTCATCTCCCAGAAATTTGACACTTATTCAAGGCTTGAAAAGTATCAGCAGCAACATCCTTCAACAACATCCGCTAATTCTGACTCTCTGCCTTCTTTGTCATTCAATTGTTGAGATGCATTTTTCTCCAACATTTTTGTTGCACCCCAGTGCTTAAGTAGAAGCCAGACATGAGTGAGAAACTGTCCATCGCGCCTAAGCTCTTGAACATGTTGTTCCACTGAGCAGCAGCTCGCAGCATAGCACAACATCTCTACCCACATATTACTCATGATCTCCCATTTGTTGTTCCCCTTCTCGTCCAAACTACGGGCAAGTTTTTCTCCATTAAACTGTGCTTCTTCAAAAAATTTATCCACATTTTCACCGTTGTTACAGAACGGTAAAGTAGGACAAAAAAGCTGAAGATGCATCATGTAATATGACAATATTTTGGTTGTCTCCACTAT